TGCTGAGTTAGGTAATTCAAGGGCACGTCCTATGGACCCCAGACGACTTTCAGACACCAGTGTTGCAAAAACGGATGTGATCACGGCGTGACTCCAAACTGAATGCCAGCACTTCTGCCCTTTCCTCAAGGACTTGTTGGCTGGGCTGGGCCCTGCTCTGCCTTCACTGTCACACCTGAGCTCCCCCGCGATGCTCTCTTTGCTGCCTGGTTTCTCTGCTCATCCCCTCCTCTTCCCTCCCAGCTGGCAACTCTCCTCCTCCCCACCAAAGGGCCAGGATGGGCCCTGGTGGCAGTGGGGACAGAGAGAGTGGCTGGGAAGCAGTGTGCATATGCTCTTGCAGGGGATGGTGGCTTTTATTTCACAGTGCGGTAAAAAGGCATAGTACCTGTTGAAAGACAGTGCGAAGACACAGATGCCTGATAAATCCCCAGGCCTTTGTCAGCAATAGTGGACCGGCACCAATTTATACCCAAGCAAGCGCAGTTGCTGCCGTCCCCTTCTCTGACTCTCTCTGCCATCTTTGCTACTAACCGTACCCCAAGGAAGGCTTGGTTTAGCGGATGTTCGTGGCAAAGAGGGGCTTTTATCACCCCAGGGATATTCTACAGTGTTGTGACTGTGGGCTGATTTCTGGCCTGCCTTCTTAGCTGGGGCCAGCCAGCCCTGTGGGATGTGCAGCAGGTGATGCCTATAAGGGCTGTGAGGGTGGCAGGAAGGAGATGGTGCTGGGAGGAGGGCTGAGTCCTTTGCAGGGGTAAGTGATGCAGGAGGGGTGTCTCTGGGTGGTGAGAAATGCTCTGTCCCTTGGAGCCCCAGCTCTAACTAGAGATCAATCCCTGGCTCCACAGCAGGGAGCAACGAGACTGCGAGCTGGAGTTTCAGGGCTCCTTGCTACCAGTGCTGAGGCTCAAAGCTCTCCTTGAAGGGTCCCATGTGCTGGACAGGCCCTGTGTGGGGCTGCCCTGAAGGCTCCCCCCTAGCTCCATGGGGCAGGAGTGCTGCTGTGGCTGGCAGCTCTGAGATTTGAGCACCAACCCTGCTGGCCAGCCCAAGCTCCTCATCCCAAAATGTGAGAGTTAGGCAATCCCAGCAGGGAGCATATTGGAGAAGGTGTGC